GATGATCTTTAAGGTCCCTTCCAACCTGAACCATTCAATGATTGTGATGATACTTTTAAAGTTGAAGAAACATTTCTCTTAACTCCTTCTCTTACCTGCCCTCCTACCCCATTTATTCTGGATAATTATTTGATTTGTACTATTTTAAAATCTCAGTGTTAATTATTTCCAAATGGTTGGATATTATTGTTAAATTAATTGTTGGAAATTGACTCAGGGGACCCACAAATATCTGCCCCTCAACACCTGCCATGTCTTTTGTGCTGTTTGGTTCTGAGAAGCAGCAAAACTGCTGCTGAAGCCTTTTTGAAACATTTTGTTCTTGAGCAACCACCGTCCCTCCCATGAGGCATTAAATGAAAAGCTTAAAATAATTTTCCAGTGGTGCTAATTTTTCTGTAATCACAGAGGTTGTTCATTTGCTAAGCACTGCCACTGCAAACACAGACAAGCTGTTCAGCTAACAAAGCTGCTCTGATGACGTTCAAAGAAAACTGCCCTTCTTTTTTTTTTCTTCTCCTCTCCTCCAAAGAGGTTTCCCCACAGCTTTTGCCTTCCCCATCTCCTAATAAATGGACCTTTGGACCATTAGACCTTAGAGCAGCTTCCAGTGCCTGAAAGGGCTCCAGGAAAGCTGGGGAGGGACTTGGGACAAGGGCAGGGAGGGAGAGGACAAGGGGGGGTGGATGGAAACTGGCAGAGGGAGATTGAGGTGAGACATGAGGAGGAAATTCTTCACTTTGAGACACCTCCCACCAGCCCAGGTTGCTCCAAGCCCCATCCAACCTGCCCTTCAACACCCCCAGGGATGGGGCAGCCACAGCTTCCCTGGGCAACCTGGGCCAGTGTCTCACCACCCACACACTCAATTTCTTCCTAGTATCTAACCTAAATCTCCCCTCTTCCAGTTTAAAACCATTCCCCCTTGTCCTCTCCCTCCCTGCCCTTGTCCCAAGTCCCTCCCCAGCTTTCCTGGAGCCCCTTCAGGCCCTGGAAGCTGCTCTAAGGTCTCTCTGGTGCCTTCTCTTCTCCAGGCTGAACACCCCAACTCTCCCAGCCTGTCTCCAGAGCAGAGCTGCTCCAGCCCTAGGATCATCTCCATGGTCTCCTCTGGACTTGCTCCAGGAGCTCCATGTCCTTATGTTGGGGGCTCCAGAAGTGGCCCCAGTTCTCCAGGTGGGGTCTCACCAGAGCAGAGCAGAGGGGGACAATCCCCTCCCTGGCCCTGCTGGTCACTCAGCCCAGGAAACAGTTGGTTTCTGGTTTCCAGCACATGATGCCAGCTCATCTTGAGCTTCTCATCCACCATCAACCCCAAGTCCTTCTCCTCAGGGCTTTTTCCTATCCAGTCTCCACCCTAACCTGTATTTGTGTTTGAGATTGCCCTGTCCCAGGTGCAGAACCTTGATATATGAGGTGCTGTGTGTCTGGAGGCCTGTCTCCAGAGCAGAGCTGCTCCAGCCCTTTGATCATCTTTGTGGGCTCCTCTGGACTCCTTTTGTTTAGCAGCAGCTGCTTAATGACTCTGTCACCTCTGGAAGGAAGGTGGTTACCACCCATGTCCCACGTGCATCCAGGAGCTTGGCTCCTTTTTCACAACCTGCACGTTTACACCCACCAGTCCTCATCACCCATTTGAGCTTTTGTATCTTTAAAGCATCTGAAGTATGTGTTCTGGTAGGATGAGTGGAAAAAAAAGACATCTTTTTCTCCAGAATGATTCACTGTAAAGTAAGTTTGGACATCCAGCAGGTGACCTTGTCTCCCCATTATCCGTGTAACGTCACCCTTTGTTTACTTCCCTCTGCCTGTTGCACAAACTAGAAAGACCTGTGTTCAGCGTGGAGTTGGTAGCTTGGAGAGCTCTGTAATGAGAGGCCTCGTTCCCCAGAGCCAACATGACTTTAACCAGGAAAAAAACAATCAGCTTAGTTGTTTGATTTGCTTTTTTTTTTTTAAAAAAAAGAACCTTGTTTTCCCTCTACCTGCCCCAAAATGCCTGATCTAAGTGCTGGTTGTATTGATACACTCTGAAGTTGTTCTGGGGGAAATAAATTGTTTGCTGAGGCCCTATGTGAATTATTAATGACTTATTTTGTACAGTGCTGGTGTGAATATCACCTTTTTGTGTCTCAGAAGGACCATTTCATATGTCTGAGGCACGTTCATTTATTAAAATAGTTTGCATTTTAAAGAGTGTCCTGGTAGCAGTTTGGTTCACGGTCCTACAGGGAGCTGTCATCTCAAGTCTCATTATCTCATGATTCTCAAAGGACTTTCCATTTTACATCCCTCCAAAAAGAGTTATTTCACTGCCTGGTGCTTCTCACTTCTTCATTTTCCTTCAGCGGAAGTACATCTTGTGGACCAGAACATCAAACCCTGTATAGTTCTTTACCCCGTGGGTATTCCTGTTAATCCTGAAAAGGAGAGGAATAAATGCAAAACCTGATGATGACTTCTTGGAATCTTGTACCCAGGTGGTGAGAAGGGCGAGTGGGTGTAGCTGGGTGCCTGCCTGGCACAGGACTCAGTTGCCCAGAGATCCTTTCATCTCCTGGCTTCTTTGGAGTTTAATTAGGCATCTGAAAAGGTGGCCTGATTGCAGACAGCATTGTTAGTTTCTCTGACTTTGGGGACTTTTGTGTGTGTCTCTCCACATATGTGTGTGTGTGTAGATTATATATATATATATGTATATATAAAAGGATTCTATCTCTCCATCCATGCATCTCTCCATCCATCCATAGATAAAATCCCTTTCTGCTTCTCTTTCCACTACGTTATGTTCAAGTACATCCTGGCCTAAGGTGACAGTCCTGGTGGGTACCATGGAGCCCACTTACACAAGGGTCTTTCATGGAGAAGCAGGCTCTGATCAGCATCTCCTGGGTGATCCACCAGGCCTCCCACCTGCCTACAGAAGAGCTCTTTCATGGCCACGTCTCAAGGCCTGCTGGCATCCTCAGAGGTCAGACTGTATTTTTACATTTGCTCATTCCATTGAAAGAAAATGTGCAGATTAGTTTTATACTGGAGATGTGCAGCAGGGAATCAGACCCCAGGTCTGTGTTTAGGTTGTCTTCTATTCTCCCTGCATCCTGATTGAAAATCTTCTGCTTTACTGTTGGACAAGATGTCTACTTTGTAGTTTGGGTTTGGTTTTTCTGGTGGTTTGTTTTGGTCTATTTTTGCAAGTCTTTAGGTCCAGACTCTTGTTTCTCATCTCTCTTTATAGGCCACCAAATACTTATCTCTGCACAAACAACCAGACTTGCAGCTGTTCCCCTAATGATGCTAGTACTGAATGTCAAGGTCTCCCTCTTAAGTTAGAGGGTAGTAGCTGATTCCTCCAGGCTTCACTGCACTGGTCTTCTCTACCACCACAGAGCTGGTGTGGTGAGAAATGAGGTGGTGGGTATGCAGGGCTGTCTGTTCTTCAGCAGTTGTGGGGCTAATATTTGTACCTCATTATTTTGTTCATCTGTTTATACAATCCTTGATGATGGTGTGGTTTGCATCTAGATTTGTTCCTGATTTTTCTTTGTTCCCTGCATTTCTTTGTGGTTTCTTTTTCTGACTAAGCTCTGGATATAGAATCCCAGACTGGTTTGGATTGGAAGGAACCTTCAATATACATCATATCATACAGAGGGGACACTCTTGGAGGCACAGCAGTGTCTTCAGAGAACCACAGACTGGTTTGGGTTGGAAGGGACCTTAAAGATCATCCAGTCCCAACCCCCTACATGGGCAGGGACACCTCCCACCAGACCAGGTTGCTCCAAGTCCCGTCCAGCCTGTCCAAGGATTTGGAACTAGATGGTCTTTAGGGTCTCTTCCAACCCAAACCAGTCTGTGAGTCTCTGATTTGTATGAAAAGAGGAACGTCAGGTTGGAGTTCCTGGATGTTTGGTGCTCCTCTCTTGGTGGTTCTTCTGTCAAGTGGGGTTGTGTTGCCTTTGGAGCTGTAGTTTTTCTTTCATAGCAGCAGTTTGTCAGTCCAAATCAGACTGGTTTTCCTGGAGCTGCCACGAGGAATATTAAAGACTTTCAGGAGGCTTTGGAATTAATAAATGAGAACCTAATCCATGGGTTTCATCTGGGAATCCTCTTCCTCCCTTTCTAACTTCATTGAATGAAGCAGATCATTCTTCACGTACTCAGCTCCTCTTGGTCCTAATACAGTGATTATTCTTTAGTGCCCTGAAGAATGCTTAATTTATAGAGCTTTTCCATGAGTAATAAATGCACTTTGTTAATAGATCATTAGTTCTTAAGACCTGAGAGTAGTTGATAAAATCTAGTCTAGCCACATGTCTGCTGCAGGCCAGAGAGCATCACTGGTGGCTTTTGGTACCAAACATCTGCTCTGTGGTGACAAGGCTTTTTGTACTGTCTTTCAGTATTGGGTGTTGATGAGAACAGACCTTAAAAAGACCTTTTTTTGACATTTTACTCCAAAGAAAATCCTACCTGAATAACTTTTTCACTCTCTGTTGCAGAGCGAGGTTATGATCCCTACAACCCAGACCTCCCGAGGCCCTCGCTGGAGGAGGAGGAAGAGGAGGAGGATGGTGCTCTGGCTGACATTACAGGTGTGACACCTGGTATTTTGGAGTTGGAGCTGGTCAACAAGGCCATTGAGGCAGTCAAAAACGAAGTTGAGAGAGAGCAGAAAAAGTATGAGGAGCTTCTGGAAACCACCAAGGAGCTCAGCGCTGCAGAGGCCTCCGCGCTCCTTTCGAATGTGCCCGTGTCAGCTGCTGGGACACAAAATGATTCATTTATGTCCTTAGAATATAGTCCAGGTAGCTACAACTTTAATAATAACTCAGACTACAACCCTACTCCTCTAGCTGCTGCTAGCCAGTCAAGTAAATACACTTTGGATGCTTACAAATCTAAAGGAAGTTCCCTGGAATACGTTCCCAAGGCTGTAGTACAGAATAAAAAATATGGTGGCACTGTCACTAATAATAAATATGTGATTGATGACTCAAAGCCTTCTACAGACTTGGAATATGACCCACTTTCAAATTACTCAGCCAGGCTTTTGAGCAAAGCCACAACAAAGGAGCCCAAGGGGGCTAAAAGGGGCAGGGTGCCCAGTTATGAGGGCTCTTACTCTCCATCACGAAAGAAGCTCTGTGAAGTAGCTGATGACTATGAAGTGTGTGCCAGGTTTTCTTCCTCTGAAGATGAGGCTGATGCAGAATACAAGCCAACTTCTGTGAGTTCACAGTCAAAAGCTGGTTCTGAAAGTGAATCCAGTGATGGGTTCTCCAACAAAGAGCAGAGCACCAAGCTGGATGACTTTGCTTCCCAGGATAGCAAAGGATCAGCAGCTCTATATGGCATGGAGGACCTTCCAAGTTCACAGAAGAATCTTGGCAAAAACTTCTCAGACAAGAATGCAAAAGCAGCAAAATTGTGTTCTGATAAAAATGAGCAGGAAATTGAAAATAAAAATAAAGAGTCAAAAGACAAAGCAAAAAGGAAGAAATCAGATGTTAGTAAAACACCCGGTGTCAGTGAGGTTGGTAAGAAGGAAAAAAGTAAAAGTACAGAAAAAGACAAAATGGTGAAGAAAGAAGAAAAATTGAAATCCAAGAATGAAGAGAAAAACTCTAAAGAGAAAAGTGTCAAAGTAAAAATGGATGGGAATGTAAAGAAATCTGAAAAACAAAAGTCAGAGAAAGTTGATGGGCTTAAGAAAGAAAAATCCAAGTCTGCCAGCAGTAGTTCAGGGAAGAGCAAGAGTGAGGGTGTCAGCAAAAGCTCCCCAGAGAAGCTGGGGAGCAGCAAGAAGGACTCCAAGCTGAAAGCAGCTGATTTGAAGAATGGTAAGGAAACCTCTGGTCATAAAAACAAAGAGAAAGGGACCAAGACTCCAGCGCTGGAGAGAAAGAAAGAAAACAGTTCTACAGAGAAGGGAAATCCAAAGAAGGGTCGGAAGCAGAGGAGTTTGAGTCATGTTGATCTGTTTGGTGATGAGAGTGGGGATGATGATGACAAAGGTTGCCCTTTGCCCTCCACCTTACCCGACGTGAGCTCGGACTCGGATGGGGGTGACTGTGGGTCAGACTCTGAGAGTGAAAACGAAGGGACAAAGAAAGTGAAACGCTCTAAATTGTCCAAGTCATCGTCGTCTTCCTCCACAACATCTGATGACATTGATTATTCCATTCTGGAGAAAGAGTTGGACTTGGAGTCAGATCCAATGGAAGAGTGTCTCAGGATTTTTAATGAGTCTACGGATGTGAAAACTGAAGACAAGGGAAGGCTGGGGAAACAGGTAATGGTGCTGGGGGTTGCTTGGTTCTCCCACATCCAAATGTGAAAGGATTCTGGTTCAGTTTAGTGGTGTTGCTTATGTCAAGTATCTGAAGAGGGCAAGAGAGGGATTGTCCCCCTGGGCTGGGCATTGGTGAGGCCACACCTGGAATCCTGGAGTCAGTTCTGGGCCCCTCAGCACAGGAAGGACATGGAGGGGCTGGAGTGTGTTCAGAGAAGGGCAGTGGGGCTGCAGAAGGGGCTGGAGCACAAGTGTGAGCAGGAGCAGCTGAGGGAGCTGGGGGTTCAGCCTGGAGACAAGGAGCTGAGGGGAGACCTGCTGGCTCTGCAGCTGCCTGAGAGGAGGTTGGAGCTGGGGGTTTGGGCTCTGCTCCCCAGGAACAAGGGATGGGACCAGAGGAAATGGCCTCAGGTTGTGCCAGGGGAGGTTGAGATTGGATCTTGGGAACATGGAAAGGGTTGTCAGGTCCTGGCCCAGGCTGCCAGGGAGGTGGTTGAATCACCATCCCTGGAGGTGTTTAAGAGATGTGTGGATGTGATGCTGGAGGAGATGGTTTAACCATTGAACTTGGTAGAGTTGGGTTCACGGTTGGTAAAGTTGGATCTAGATAATCTCGAAGGTCCCTTCCCACCCAAACCATTCTGTCAGGATTCTATGAAGTGGAACAGGTTGGGAAGCAGGTGCTGCCAGTGATCCTGCAGGGTCAGGGAAGGAGGAGCAGACAAGATTCATCCTTCATCTACTGATGTCCATGTTCAACGGGGTAGTGAGAGCAGAGCCCTCGAGCCTGGTACTTGGGCAGGATGGTTTGACCTGCTGTCCTGCCCAGCAGGCCTGGGAGTTCTGGTTGGGATAAGCACATGTTCAGGAAATTGGTTTGGAAAGAGCTTTAAAAAAGGAAAAAGTGCTAAATTTTGCAACATGGAGAAAATCCCCCAAACCTGACACCTGGCACATCTGACTGCGGTGTGGAGGTGTGGGGGTCACTGAGTCACCTGTGTTACCTGGGAGTGACAAAATTGGGTGCCCTTTGTGTGCCTGGGGACACGAACATGTTTATCCAAGGAACTACTGAGTAGCTTCAGCCATCCTGTGTCCAAAAGATAATGGAGGAACTGGGACTCTCTCAGGGCTTCCAGTGCGTTCCAGTTCCAGCCCCTTCAAGCACAGCAAGACTCCCTCTTGAATTACTATAATATTATGTTGCATTATTATGTTAATATATAGATAGATAGATAGGATCCTGATGATCTTTAAGGTCCATTCCAACCTAACCATTCTATGATTCTATGATTCCATGATTATGAATCCAACAGAGGGGCAGGGTGAGTGCAGCAGGAACCCTGCAACTGCACAGTGGAAAGCCAAGTTCTCCTGCTATGGTTGTTTGTTGGCTTTTATCCTAAAAATGGCCTCAGAAATTGGTGCTGGTTTTCAGGCTGTTGTCAGTTGGGTGAGTAAAGTGGCCATGAACAACATTCTTCCATTCACGACTGTCTGTGTGTGGAGGACAAAGTGAGCTGGGATCTGCAGCGTGGGGAGGAGAGCTCATCTGCTGAAAAGAATAGCTGGACTATTAAAGCTTTTTGCTGAACCCTCTGTTGCAATAATGTCCCTGATCTGTTCAGAGAGAAGTTGGTGTTGCTGACAAGTAAAGACCTTTTTTAGACTTGTGTAAAATGCCTTAGTAGAAGAAACTACATAAAGCAGTGGAGTGCAATGATTGTCTGTTGAACTGTTAAGCATAACTTGATTTTGCTGGTTTAAAATTCAGTTTTGGTTTGTTGTTTGTTTTGTTTTTTTTCTTTAGTGTAATTCCCAGCTAGGAACGAGCTCTTCATTTGTTTTGTTTTGTTTTGTTCCTTTACATTGCTTGATTTGAGTGAAAATAGTCTGAAGAGCCCTCAGTGGGGAAAATTAATCCATGGAGAGCTTTCCAAACAGGGGATGATTCAGATGGGCTGAATTCAGAAAGTGCTGAACCAGGGGCTGCCAGTGACTGCAAACAGTTAACTCCAGAGTGGAGTGGTTGTCAGCATCCCTGGGTGTTTCCTTTCCACGTGCTTTTACTTTCTAGCCCTCCACTAAAATCTAATTTCCCCCTGTTTTGGAAAGGGAGGAACAAGCTTTGCAGTGGAGGGGGCCTTCCTGGTGAGGTGGGTGTTTGTAAGTACCTTCCTGCTTCCCCTCTGCCTCTCTGGTGGGTGGGATGGGTCATGGAGAGGTTTTTTTGGAGGTTTGTGGAATAATTTTGGAGTTGGAGTCCACATTGCCATGTCTGGAGGGAAGGTATGTATGGGCTGTGCAGGGAGGGAAGGCTTTGTGGGGGAGGTTATTAGGGATGGAAGTGAATTAATAGACTTGCTGAGTTCCTAGAGAGCAAAGTGATTCAGTGGGAAGTGCTGATCCAGAGTGTCCTGGTGGGGAGGGACACACACTCCCCCTGAGCTCATCTCCAAATCCAGCCTTCATCTCTGCTGCTGAATTTCTAAGAGATTGTCAAGCTGGTCTCTGCTCAGAGCTTTGCCAGGGGCTGTGTTGGAAAACTGAAAGCAAGATTGACTGGAGAGCAGCTGGAGTTCTGCAAAATCAACTTTTGAAGTGTGTTTTCTAGAAACGAACAGTCCAGTCAAATGCAGAGAAGGTTTTGAAGTGATTTCTGCCCCCCTGGCACTGGGAGCAAGTCTGAGATGTTGGCTCAGAGGTGGCTTTAGCTGAAGAGGTGCTGGTGCTTCCTCCTGGCCATACAATAGTGTCACCTGGGGCTTTGTCACCCCAGCCTTCCTGCAGATGTGGCTGTGGATAAAACTGCAGAGAATCATGTCCCAGAATGTGTGTGGGACACACACACTGGGATTTGGTGTCGAGCAGGTTTTCAGGACCTGCTCTGGCAGGGTGTTCCACAGGGGCAGAAGTGACTCAGCTCCCAAGTTCTTACCAAAAAAACCCCAAACCCCCTGGATTTTAAGGATGCCATGAAAGGAGAGGTTGGGAGTGGCTGGCAGGAGAAGGGTGCTCAGTGTCTCGGGGTGGGTGGGTGCTGTTCTGAATCCTGCCAGTGCTGCCCAGCGCACAGGCTCGTGGAGCAACTGCTTGGGTGGGAGCTGTAATGCTGCTCTTCCTTGGCTTCACTGGTGGCTCTTGGGTTTAAAAGAAGGTTTGTTTTAGCAGTTCAGCAGCTGCTTGAACATTGTTCTTACCTGCCACCTGCAAGGACTTTCTGTTAACCCTACAAGAGACTGTTCAGGTCTCCTCATTGAGAGGGATCTTCAAGTCTGTTCAGTTTTGGAAGCTTGATCTTATGTTTTCCAGGTATCTAAAGAGGAAGGAAATGATGAAAAGACAGAAGATAATTTAACTACCTTGTTTCCTGGCCAAAAAAGAAGGATCTCTCATCTTGTCAAACAAGGAAATGTAAGTGCAGCTTTTAGGAGCAAAAGTTTAGATTGTCTAAAGTGAGGATTTTCTGTCCTGCTACGACACTGGAAAACGATGCAGTCCCAAGTTCAGGCATACAAGTTGTTTGGGCTGGAATCCATCTCTGTCAGATTTCTTTTCTCCCCTTTCTGATTTCTGAAGCACCTGATGAGGCATCTCTTCAAAATGGCAGCAAAACCCTGCAAAATGTTCATAAAACCAAGGCTGAGCCGTGGAGGAGTAAATGGATCCTGCACCTTGTAGCTCCCTGCAGTAGCTCAAGGTGTTGGTTTTTCTACACTACAGCTTCATTCAATCACTTAGATAAAAATTAGCTGGACACAAGGTCAGTCTGAGCCTGATGGTAATTTTCTTTGTCTAGTGGACCTAAAAGCTGTAGGAATTTTGTAAGGTGTTTAAAACTGTTACTTTGTGCTGGATCAGCCAAGATACCAACGATGCCTTGTTTGATCCTGTTCTTTCCCCATTGTGAAAATAGTTTAAATAGAGAGAAGAATAGAAAACAAAAAAAGACAAGGGAGACATTCTGATTTTTTAATTTCTTTCTCACTGGGATTTTAATTCATGTTTTCTCTGAGGGTTTAATGTGTTTCCCTCCAGGTGCTGAGCACAGATTAGTCAGTTTTATGTTCCAGCAGGATAAGAGTGGAGACTTACGCACTGATTTGAGCTGGGTAGTCCAAATTAATTGTTCTTCCTTTCCTCTCTGCCTAGAAAAGCTTTCTTTGCTTTTAATAATCTGAAGCCCTGAGGTCAATACAATGTGTTTTATTTAACTACATATCTTCAGCCAGTTCATGTGTTTTGATAAGGGCCCTTTCTTCCAAAGTGAAGAGATAAGAGACTGAAGCAAATGGGTTGGAAATTCATTAACTCAAATATTTATTGTGAACAGGTGCCTTTTAGACATGGACAAATCTTTAAATACGTTTTTTTAATGTGACAGCTGATCCCAAAATGCTTTCCAAAGATGTGAGCCCCAGCACAGCCCCTGCTTGGGCAAACAGAACTGATCTGGTGTGCTCAGCAGCAGCAGCTGCTGTGAGCACCGGGACGTGCGTTCCCTGCAGCGCTCGGCTCGGGGCTGCTGCTGCCTCCAGGTCTGTTCACAAGGTGCTGTAAGATCTGAAGTGCTGCTTTATTTTTCAACTCAGAGAGCTGAGGCTTGGGTTTTCCTGAGTCCCCTCAAGTCGATTATTTGCTCAGTCTTGCTTGTGATTTATAGCTCGAGGACTGAGCAAGCAGAAAAGGGAGGGAGCTGAGTTGTAGTTGAGTTGTTAGGGGAAATGGTGGGCCAAAGGAATTGAAGGTGAGGCAGAAAATGGGTGTCCTGTCCTGCTTGAAGGTCTGTAATTATCCAGAAGCATCAGAGGCCTGGAATGCAGGAGGTTGCAGCTTGTCCCAAATTTGCAGTCTCAGAAATGCTGTGTTAGACATGGGCTGTGCGAGCGTACCCTCCTCTGAAGACATTTTGGGAGGAAAAGCCTGTTTCTCAGATTTCCAAGCTTATTAAGTAGTGCAGGGAAATTTTACCACTGCATCTTCCCTTGTACTTCTGCTGCAAGAAGACTTCTCTCTTTGCTGACATAATTTCTGGCTCCTTTCCTGCAGCCTAAATTTGAACATCAAAGAAAACACGTGTAACTTGTTTGTGCCGGGAAGGGCTGAAGCAGTGAAATGCCTCCAGAAACAGGCAAGGGCAGAGCCTGTTTCAATTGCAGAGCTCAGTTTATGTAATGCTCTAATCTTATAAATACAGATATGTGAGACTTTGGAGTGGTTACAGGAACTAGAGACTTGAAACAGGGCTGCTGGGGAGATGGCACTTTTTTTTTCAGCATGGGAAAAGGAGCTGGAAAGCTCAGCTCTGTGTAGCAAAGGGGAATGGGGAATAGTTGATCACTTTATCATGGCAATAAACTAAAGGAACAGGCAGCAGGGAGCTCATTTCCTAGTGCAAGATTGTAGAGCTGAGAGGATTGGCAGAGTCCAGAAGGGGGTTGAGCATGGTGATAGCTGGAGTGAATGGCTGGAATAGCTGAAGAGCAGTCCCCAAGGAAAGGGACTTGGGGGTGGGAGGAGATGAGAAGCTCAACATGAGCCACCAGTGAGTGCTGGAGCCCAGAGGCCAGTTGTGGCCTGGGCTGCATCAACAGAAGTGTGGCCAGCAGGGCCAGGGAGGGGATTCTGGCCCTCTGGTCTCTGGTGAGACCTCACCTGGAATACTGTGTGCAGATCTGGTGCCTTCAGCACAAGAAAGATACAGACCTGTTGGAGAGAGTCCAGAGAAGGG